ATTGATAAAAGGAATGATAAGAATTTGAAAAAAGGAAATGTAGGGAACAGATTAATGAAGAAACGGAGGGATTCTCCTCCTGGTGGAGTGAAGTTACTGAATGGAACGAAGGATGAATCGGGTTTAGATAATCCAGATCTTGGCCGGTTTTTGCTAAAGCAAGCAAGGGATTTGGTTGCTTCGGGGGATAATCCTCAGAAAGCTCTTGAATTAGCTCTTCGAGCATCAAAATCATTTGAAATATGTGCAAATGGTAAATCCAGTTTAGAACTGGTAATGTGTTTGCATGTCACAGCAGCAATACACTGCAGCATAGGTCAGTACAGAGAGGCCATTCCCATCCTTGAGCATTCAATTGAGATTCCGGTGCCTGAGGAAGGCCAAGAGCATGCCCTTGCCAAGTTTGCTGGTTACATGCAGTTGGGTGATACTTATGCGATGCTGGGCCAGGTTGAGAATTCAACAAATTGCTACTCAACAGGATTGGAGGTGCAGAAAAAAGTTCTGGGAGAAACTGACCCTAGAGTCGGTGAGACTTGTAGATATTTGGCTGAGGCCCATGTTCAAGCATTGCAGTTTGATGATGCTCAGATGGTTTGTCAGATGGCTCTAGACATTCATAGAGAGAATGGTTCTCCTGCTTCTCTTGAAGAGGCAGCAGATCGACGGCTTATGGGTCTTATATGTGAAACAAAGGGAGATCATGAGGCTGCTCTTGAGCATCTTGTGTTAGCAAGTATGGCCATGGTGGCAAATGGCCAGGAATCTGAGGTGGCCTCTATTGATTGTGGCATTGGAGATGCGTACTTATCTTTGTCTAGGTATGATGAGGCTGTTTTTGCTTATCAAAAAGCACTCGCAGCTTTTAAGACAATGAAAGGAGAGAATCATCCATCTGTTGCTTCAGTGTTTGTTCGTTTGGCTGATTTATATAACAAAACTGGGAAGTTGAGGGACTCTAAATCGTATTGCGAGAATGCCCTTAGGATTTATGAAAAGCCTGTTCCAGGGATCCCTCCAGAGGAGATCGCTAGTGGTCTCAGTGATGTTTCTGCTATCTATGAATCAATGAATGAGCTTGATCAGGCAATCAAGTTGCTTGGAAAGGCATTAAAGATATATAATGATGCCCCTGGTCAGCAAAGCACTATTTCTGGAATCGAAGCCCAAATGGGGGTCATGTACTACATGATGGGAAATTATTCTGAATCTTACAACTCCTTCAAAAATGCAATTTCTAAGCTCCGTGCAAGTGGAGAGAAGAAATCTGCCTTCTTTGGCATTGCTCTTAACCAAATGGGTCTCTCCTGTGTTCAGCGCTATGCTATTAATGAGGCAGCAGAATTGTTTGAGGAAGCCAAGATTATTTTAGAACAAGAGTGTGGACCATATCACCCTGACACTCTTGGTGTATATAGCAATCTTGCTGGCACTTACGATGCAATGGGCAGGTGAGCACCCTTTATCACTTCTTGTGTCTTTTATCCTCATATGCGTATGTCAAAAGTTTATTATCATTTTGCTTAACATTGTTTGAGTGTTTATGTTGCTCATCTCACAAAGTGATGTTCGGTGGTATGGTTACCCAATGGCTGTGGTTGTTTTCCTTCACTCGGTACTTTGTACCAAATAAAATACTAAAGTTGTAAATCTTGGATGTGTTTGGCTGATTTTATGGATGTGTGCATATGCATTTTTCCTCTGCATGACAAATTTGAATTGAAGCTGAGCTGAGGTGCTCTGTAACGTATTATCACAGGTTGGATGATGCAATTGAAATCTTAGAGTATGTAGTTGAGATGAGAGAGGAAAAGCTTGGGACAGCAAATCCCGATGTTGTTGATGAGAAAAAAAGGTTGGCTGAGTTGTTGAAAGAAGCGGGAAGAGTTCGGAGCAGAAAAGCTAGATCACTGGAGAACCTCCTTGATGGCAACTCTCATGACATAAACAAAGATAGCATTACGGTATCATAAAGATGTTACATGTATAGCTGTATTTATTCAAACTGAACAGAATGTATTATAGGAGTTAATTTAAGAAGAAAAGAAATCAAAAGAAAAGAAGGAATAGGTGGTTGGTGTTCTCATAGATTCTTATCCGAAAACAACTGCAGGCATGGGTTTGGTTGTCATATTGATTTTCATTTTCATATTTATTGAAGTTTATTTTTTGTGTATCTTACTGCTGTAAATCATTGGTGATATTAGTGTTTCTCCCGCATAATGATCAAGAAACTATGGATTCATTTGTAATCCAAGAATTTTATGATTGGATATTTATCATTTGATAATAGAATGCCATCATTTGGTATAAGAGTAGTTGCTTCTGATAGTATTCTTAATCTTACTCGTAGCATGTCATCCATCCCCATCAAGGAAAGTTGGATCCTTTGCTCTAATCTAATATTTTCTTTTTGTTATTCAGTAGGGGACCAATCATGATGCCACCTGCTTACTGATATTCTAGGGTTTGATGGCAATTTAATAGACGAGGGCCTCTCTGCAAGTTGTGTATGAAGAACTGATTTTAGTTTCCATTATCTATGATCGTGGGGGTCCCAAATGCTTTCCAATAATTCAAATAACAAGTGAAGTGGCTTCGGATGGAAAGCTAAATCAGTAACTCTATTCCTAAATGTTTTTCAAGGACCGCTAGGGCAATTAATCTCCTCCTGGTATCTTTTCTTTGCCTAGCCATGGCAGCTTTGACTGCATGCTTCAAGGTAGCTTGAGGTTATCTCTAAAGAAGGGCGAAGGGACAAGGGGGTGGTTTGAGGTTGTTTCCACCTAGCTCATACAACTGGTGGCCTACCTATCTGAAAGAATTCATGCGTGCAACCATATTGCCTAACGTTCATGTCCCAAGTCTTCAAATTTACTAGCAGTCTAAACTCCAGAAGCTAATTTTGTACCCAGGGAAAAGATATAGGAGCTTTTATGAAGGTTGTTTGAGTAGATTTGTTATGTCACTCTCCATTTTCAAAGAGCTGTGTGTTGTTGAAGTGGTTGATACGAAAGTCTGGGAGGAAATAGCGATGACTTGTGGTGCTGCACGTTGGCTAAAAAAAGGTAAATTTAGCCAACATTGGTGACGAGAATTTAGAGCAGTGACAGATTGCGGTGTTCGTTAATTTGTACCTTTATTTTAGGTATTAGATAGAAATTTGGTAGCCCAACCATTTGGATTGAGGATTATTTTATGACAGAGCATACCGGCATGGCCAGGCTTGGATTCGAGCATCAAACTGTAAATTCCAATACATGGCCAGGCTTGGATTCGAGCATCAAACTTTAAATTCCAATAAAAAAAAAAAAAAAGATTTTCCTCTGCCTCATACAATCCACTATTCATTATAATAATAAAGTGGGACCTTGAATTTTTTTTTGAATTATTACTTTGTAAAAGTTTTTTTTTATAATTAATTGATTAAAAATTAAATTTTGATATTTTTTTTAAATTTTGATTTAATTATTAAGGATTACGAGTATAAAAAATTAATATATTTTTAAATTTTTTTATAATTTTTATAATTTTTTATCAAGTTATTTAAGTTATTTTAATTACATCATTTGAAATTTGAAATGTAAATTTAGTAAGTTATCTTATATTTGGTTTAATTTTAATTAACATTGATATAGATTTATCATGATTAGGTTTTTATGTTTTTTTTTTTAATTTCATTTCAATTCCTATATATATTTTTTAACACAAAAAATAGTCTAATCTCGGGATGAATGACGTGCACCGTAGCTAGTCTATACGGTCTTCATTAAATAAAAAAAGAAGAAAAAAGCTTTTCATGCCTAGTTAAAGCATTTCTTTTCTTTTTCCCGTAGCCCGTCATCTTTAAATCTTTTAATTCGGTTTGTCCTTTAACCATAGATCTCTTCCCAAAAAACATATCACTGTCCGAAGCAGCAATGGCTTGGAATTAATTGATGTAATTTGACTATTGATGTGCTAGCACGAAGCCCATTGAGAGAATAAAACAGCTTGTGCTTACAAAGAGGACAGGTCTCTCATGGATGTAAGCAGATGAGCCAGAAGTTTTGTTACTTCTCCCGAGGTTTGATAATGGTGGGCACCGCACAAGAGTTGTCTGAACTCCGAAGGTCCTGCATATTACATCCACTACAAAAACCATTATTCAACAAGAAATATCAAAATATAAAGTTCACGGTCCTGCATATTACATCTTGACCATCTCTCGGCCATTTCACAGGCGGCTCCATATTTTTTTTGTTCCCTTCTGGCCTCGGCGACAAGAGAAGGTGCAAGTCGGTAGGGATTGGCCCGAGTAGTTCCAATTTCGTAATCTATTTTTATCTTTTGTTGGCAGTGTCCCGCATAAGAAAATTGATCTTTGTAGTTATCCAATACAAGTCGGCAAGGAAATCAGAGGCAGTACGATTTCTCATACAGGACATCGGCACATATTTTTCTCAAAACTCGAACGCCGTAGAGGAGGGGATGTATCATCGGATACTCTCCAACTGACCCAACATGAACGTCGAGTTGTTGAATCTATACGTGATGACTCCCCTGTCATGCAATAACGTCAAGAGTTTCCAACATTCCCCTCACTCCATTCTTTTGAAACAAATGTATGTGCTGCCTGATCTTGACATCCTACCTCAGCTCGATTTCCAAGATTTCAAGTAAAAACAATTAACAACTTGCTTTCAAGTTTTCAGGAAAAGCTCTTAAATGATCACATCATGAAAAGGCTTTTCAACTTTTTTTACCAGCAAATCATCCAATTCATCCCAGCTAAGCTTGCGTGGAGATGATGAGACATGTTAATTACTTGTAAGAGATAAATAATTTGACAGCATTTTAATGAGCAAAAACAACCAATCTGGAGTAATAGGAAACATCAGATAGCCGCAACAGAAACTTACTCCATTTGTTTCCGGGTAAAAAATCAATGAGTTGGTATCTGCATAATTATTTCAAATCTCAATCACTCAATCAATGCCCGCTTCCTTCCCTTCCAATATCATCCATACAGCTTGCCATTGAACAAGTATTGGCTCATTACTTTCAACAAGTGTTCTTCTGCTACTTACGAGGTTACACCCAAAGACATTATGCATGGCTTACCTTCAAGATTCCAAGGAAAGTTCTTAACTGACATCTTAGGAATAAGCTTTCACCTTTTGTTTTCCACCAAATTGTCGAATTCATATCAGATTAGTTTGCCTGGAAACAAGAAGAGATGTTAACTAACTGCTTATGAAAGATAAATAATTTGACGCGGTGATGAACAAAAAACCAACCTTTCTAGAGTAAGGAGAAACATTAGATAGTCACTTCAGTTTATTTTGGAAGGTCTCGTATCCTTCCCACCGCTGCCGCTGCTGTTATTTATTCATTTTAGTTTCCAATCTCAAGAGATTTTATAGCAAATCTTAATTTGCTCTGTCAAATGTATTGTGCCAATTTTACAAGAAGTCCCCTAATCACTACAAAAATCTCATTCATTCTGTGGATGGGATCCAATTTAAGAATTCAACACAACAAATTCCATATTTTGCAACTTCATAACAGTCTGCCTTCTGGCTAGGTGCACAGCCTTGATTATTTCTTTCTTCCAACATTCATAAATGAACAAAAAACTGTGGCCGAACACTTCGAACTGAAATTGCACTACTTCTAAATGTTTCCTTTGATTCATGCTTCTTGGAACAGGTGGGCGCTCTGCTTTATGTTCGAGTTGTGAAGGCAAGTCCTGGAAAATAATGCTGAGCTCACCAACATGTCCAGTTCTTGAGGCACTTGGCAAGAAGCTCTCCTTTGAGATAGCAGTTGGCTTAAATGGCCGTGTTTGGGTATGACTTTTTTGTACAGTATTATGATATTGATTTCCCATTTTTTTCTTCCACTCACTTTTCATTCATTCTTCTCTCACTCTCGCGTCCTCCCCTGCTTTAGGCAGGTTTGCCTACTTTCATGTCCGCAAGACTGCTCTGTTTTGCATGTGTTGAAAAGTCCTACTTCTATTACTATAACCTTTTGTTTTTCGTGTTTGAATATAGGTGAAAGCTGATTCTCCATCAACAGTTATTATTGTGTCAATGCAATTATCATGTCGGAGTCTTTGAGTGGGGCACAGCAGAAAATTATAGCAGAGAAATTACTTCAGAAAATTCAGGTAAATTCATGGCATTTATGATTCAACCCCCTACACTTAGTCCTGTCATCCTTGCTTTCTTTTTTGCTTTTTCAATCATATTTTCTGAACTTCAGTAACTGCAGAAGACTGCAAACGTTGTTTCTTGGATCCACCATGGTCATTAATTGGAAGGGGCAGGGTCATGTACGCAGAAGTTTGAAGACACCGACTGTCACCAGCTCATAGTTTTGGAGGACTATAATGGCAATTACTTCTTGAATGTACATTACAGCTACTTTTGAAGCCTTATTTTCCCATTTACTTTGGGTTTAGAAGATGATTAAGCTGAAGATTCTAATTGAATCTCTCCAAGTGCTTCTATCAGCCAGCATTTGTAATTGTGGATATGCTGAGGCATTGAATCTTATTGAAACTGGTTAATTATTTTGAGCCGGTAATGTGTAAGTAATTTGTCAAGAATCATGAACACATACTTCCTTGCATTATTTATCTTGTCTTGGGGAACCTCCACTAGATAATCCAAGTTCTCATCGAGTCCATTTGTGACCACAACGCCAGTTGGTATTAGCTGTGTTGCAACAGGAGGATTTCCAAGACATGACTCATGAGAAATAAGAGTCGGTTCATTCGGCAGTCAAAACACGATGAGGTGTAGGTAACATATGCCTCCTCCTCTTCGCTATCCTGCAGTCTGGGACTCCAAAGACAAAGAACTGGACAAGATGAAAGCAGTGTTATTAAACCCAGCCCGGCCCGGTGGGTTGACCCGGGACCCAATCGACCCGGGACCTAGAAATAGTGTTCCAGAGCTGACAACGGGAGTACATAAGCAAACATAAGTGGATGGAGTGTGGGTTTTGGCTTTTTATAGCAGCGCCTTCAGAGCAGTGTTATTAAATCCGGCCCGGCCCGGCGGGTTGACCCGGGACCCAATCAACCCGAGACCTAGAGCGGTCCAGGCAATACAAAAGACCGGTGCAAGGAAAAAACCGGCCAAACCCGGGTGACTCGGCCTGACCCAGGTGAGACCCGGCCTATATATACTAACTTATCTCAGGAAAGCTGGGAAAGTAAAAGAAAAGCTAAATTTTTACCCTAATTTCTTTCTTTACAGTTCGAACAATCAAATTATATTTTTCTATTTGTATCTTTTATTGATCGCTCCGCCGGATTTCTTTGTTATTTTCTTCTAATATTGTAGCCCCTCTCGTTACTGGATCTTGTCATTGTCTTGTAAAAGCTGCAATCTACACCAGTTGCCCGAAACAAAAGAGAAGCCAGATTTCACTGTTATAAGCCAGGTTCTTCATCTTTTTACAATATTACAGCTGTTAAATTGAGTTAATTGTTACAGAGAAAGATTATTAAACTAATATTATTACTGCCTATTATTTGCACTTAATTCTTCATTGTTTTGATTTGATTTATTTTATTTAAATCATAAACTTAGCTTTCAAACATGAATGCACGTGAATGTTGGCAGTAGATTAATTGACTTAATTAATTCTTTATCATTTAATTTCATAAATGAATTATTCTAAGTATGTTTTGTGGCTGAAAGTATATGCTAATTATTTGTCTTTCATGATTCTTAAGACTTGAGAGAGTAAGCCAGAGCCAGCACAGTAAGCTCTTATTTCTCTGTAAAACAGTTGTGCTCACTATTTCTCATTCATGCAGCGGAAGATGTTGATTTATGGATTCTAATGCAAAATGGAGTTAAAATGTTGATTTATGGATTCTAATGCAAACTAGAGTTTGAATGTTGTCACCTTATATTAATTATGTTAAATTATATATCTCTAGAATAACTTGTTATTTTATTATTTTTATCTTTAAATTATGTTAAATGTTTGTTTATTTGAAGATAAATGCACATTCTAATCTATTGATGCTAATTAATTATGATACTTTATATGTTAATGTGATATTTATTTTATTAATTATGCTAGCATATATATTAATGTGATATTTTATGTCAAAAAAACCATATTAATGTGTTTTTGTTCTTGATACGGGTTGACCCGGGTCAACCCACAAGACCCGTGACCCGGTTAGTTTACCGGGTCAACTACCGGGTCGGGTCTGATAACTATGGATGAAAGGAGATCTATGGACGATAACTTTTATCGTTGGTTGTGTAGTTTGTTTGTGGTAAAAGGAAGCTCTTTGTTGGTTCATCAAGACAAGATAAATAATGATTACCTTAAGAGGACTAACCCCATCACCAAAAAATAAAATAAAAAATCCATTATATTAATATTAATGCTGATCTTTTACACGGTATTAGAAATACCTTTTTATGTTATTAGTGATGTCAGATAAATAATAGAGTTGTAAAATAATTTTATATTTTATTTTGTATATAATATTAATATTAAAAATAATTCTTTTATAATATTAATATCAATTGAAATATATTTAATTTGTAGAAGATTCTCTTACATATACGAATATAAAAAAAAATTACTCTAAGCTTTTAGCATCTCATATTAAATGTTTTAAGAATAATCTCAAGACCTAACATGAGGTTCATAAAAACTATAAATTATATATTTTGATATAGAATGATTCTAAACCCAATGATGTAGGCCCAAACATAGTTGGTCTTAGCGCATAGTTAAACATAAAAGAATTGAGTTTGTCATCTTGCCAAACTGATAAGTTTTTGGGCTTAACGTGCAGTCGAGCCTAATAGAGTTGAGTTTGATATCTTTCCAGATTCACAAGTATTTATAGAAGCATGTAGCTGAGTTCAAAAATATTGAGTCTAATGTCTTACTAGACTCATGAGTACTTGAGTTTCACACTTATATGAGCCTAATAGAGTTAGGTGTGATATTTTTTTAGACATATAGGTGTTTAGGCTTGGCACTTAGATGAACTTAAGGATATTGGGTCTAATATCTTACCAGACTCATGAGTATTAGGTCTCAACACATAGCTAAATCTACTGGTGTTGAGGCTAGTGTATTGCCAGATCCATAAACGTTTGTGTTTAGTGTATTATTTAATTTAAGGGTGTTGAATATGCTATTTTATCAAACCCATGAGTGTTTGGACTCAGTGCGTAGCTAAGCGTATTAGTGTTGAGGCTGATGTATTGTTAAATCCACAAACATCTATGTTTAGCACATGATTGGATTTAAGGGTGTTGAGTTTGATATTTATTAGACCCACCGATATTTGAGCTTAACATGTAATTAAGTCTAAGAGTTTTATATCCCCACTTTATCCTTAATTTTTTTTATTTATGGGCCTTTAAGGAAAGTGAGTTATGTATAAAATATGTTGATTTATCACTTTTAATTACTCTCAATTTGAATAATATTTTTTGAATTGAGATCCTCTCATGTTTTCTTATATAATGGCTTGTTATATTTATTGGATATGAGTAATTGTGCTACAAAAGTAATAATAACTTAACTTTTATTATTTTATCTTTTTATCTAATTTAAAATATTGAATTCAAAACTGATAATGACATAACTACTTAATTTTCAACATATATACATATTTTCCATATTATTATAATACTACTCTAAAACAATTTTTTGTTTTTTATGGTGTTTTAGTATTTGTATAAACAATAAAACACTTAAATATGTTTTTTAATTGCTTTAGCATGCGATACACCATAGACGATGCAAGTTCAAGTGCGTGGGGACGCAAGTATTTTATGTTTGTAATAAAAAACTTATCACCTGTCATTTTTTTTTTCTCACAAAAATAAAAGACAAATGTTCTCTGGACCGTTAATAAAAAAACAAAGTAGGGTCAAGTGGATGGGTTATTTAAATACTATTATAATTTTGTACTCGATTCACTTACCTTTTAATTTTCATATATTTTTTAAATATTATTATAAATTGTTATTTGAATTTTAATAATTTTTTTCAATTATTATATATTTTATATAATAATAATAATAATAATAATAATTTTTCATGAAAATTAGATTGAAATCCATTTTTTTATTGAGATTTTTAAATAGATTTTGACAATAATTTTATCACATTTACATTTTTTTTGCTCTCAATCACATAAAATATATGAACATATTTTTTCTATATTTTTTTATAAACTTGATTTAACAATCATAAAATTTATCTGGATGTATTTTTCAATAGAAACAATGATTCCATTTAAAACATTGCATGTACTAAAATAGACAAGAGATACTTTAATAGAAAAAAATATCTTGATATTTTTTTAAATAGATTTTATTTTCGAGTTTAACGACAATAATAAATAACTTCATGAAACTTTATATATATATATATATATATATTTTACATATAGAAAAATTTTCCCATGCCCCCCACCCTATGCGACGTAGCATGAATATATAAACTATAGCAGATTGTAATGATCTATTAAAGAGTTGTGATTAGAACTTTTAGTTGTTTGGATATATTCCATGTCTATTACTTATAATATTTATCTCCTATTCTTAAGGAGATAAACTTGTACAAGAGACTATAAAGAAGCCCTTTGTTCTTGTATTTAGAAGTATGAATGAAAATGTGAAATAGATTCCACAATTTATATGGTATCAAAGCAGATTTTCTAAAAATCCCTGCAAATCAATTGAATCACATTACCCCTCAATACAATGACTACCAAATCATTCTCTCCTATTATATATGTCAAAATTGAAAACTCAAGTTTCAATGCTGGTATAATACTCATCGAAATCGATTATGACACGTGATCCCAAATCATCGAAATGCAAATTGTTGGTCATAAGAAACTCGACTATATTATTGGTGATTCACCTCAACCTGATACAAAAGACTCTTCTTACTTCAAGTGGTATGCCAAAAATAAAAAAAATTAAAGGCTAGTTACTCACATTAATGACCTTAAAGATTATAAAGAGGTATCTTCGCCTACGTACTGCTCATGAAATTTGACATGCTCTTACTAAAGCATTCTATGATTGATCAGATGAAACACAAATCTTTGCTCTTAATTAGCATGCCTTCTCTATTCGTCAATCTGGTTGTTCTCTTTTTATATATTATGGAGAGCTAGTTGAAATATTTCAAGAACTTGATTAATGTGACAAAGTCAAAATAAGGGATCCTGAAGATATTATTATGTATAAAGCAGCAGTTGAAAAATTAACGATATATGTATATATATTCATTATGAAGCAAATTGTCAAATCCTTCTAATCAGTGACCTTACTACTTCTGATTCTATGACCATGTTAGCTCGTCGAAACACACCACCTATCTGACGAACTTACTCTAGTTCCATGGTGACATCTCGTAGCTTTGATATTGGAAACAAACAATTTGGCTCATCTAGATACTATACTCATCGTGGAGACACTAAACACATTAAAAGCCGCTGCTATGACTTGATTGGATATCCTGAATGGTGGGATCCTTTTAAGGCTCCAAAAAGTAAAAGCAAGAATGCACTTGCAACATCATCTGTCTTCACCATCATAGCTGAAA